TATATATATATATATATATATAATTACAGACTAAAGTATTATAAAAAACAATATTTATAATATTTAAGTCTGTATTTTTAATTAATCCAGTGTTATTATTATATATTATTATTGTGTTATTATATATTTTTATTGTTATATATTAATTCTCTCATCCAGAGCAAAATCCTATAGATCTGGTTGTGAGTTTACAGCTTGGCCACTAGATGGTGCTGTGTTTCAACATTTAAAAATGTGCTTTACAACCTTGAATGTTACTCACCAGGGTATAATTGTTACAAGATAACAAATCAGTACTTTAAAGTCTTTTTCTCAAATTGTTGTTACTGGAATTAGCAGATGTTTTTAACACCTTTCTCTTTTTAGCAAAGCACATCGGCTGTTATATTGATGACACACAGAAACGGGCTCTTAGAGGGGTTTCCTTTTTGGACTACAAAAAAATGACTGTCTTCCGTTGCCAGGACAACTGCGCTGAAAGGTACGTCAGTTGAAACTTTTGATCAATGTACAAGAACACACACGTTTGTATCACGATAAGGACTTCCTTTGGACTTGTATTGTTTATTATGCTCTGCTAATGATGTTTTCTGTGCCTAACCACAAACCACAAGTTTAATAAAAGTTCTTTATGGTGATTAGCAGATAACTGTTCCCCACAAATCAAAAGTTTTACTATCCTTTTAAGATGACATTTCCTGACTTCCACTTCCAAACAAACGCTCATGTTATCATACAAATTCAGTCATCATAAACATGCAATTGCTCTCACCCTGGAGATATAACCCGTAACTGACAAACATGAGTAATTTAACACACTTTACGCTAATCTAATTCCCTTGACCCTTAATTTACTAAGAGGGGAGGGTTATCAGATATGCTCTAAATCATGCTTTTTACAGTTATTTTACAGTTTAATATGTGACATTGCCCTACCCCGCTCATATCATATAGTATTCATTTTATTTGTGCTTGTCTTAAAGAAGGTCTCAAATTTGAGCTTAAAAATCCTGCAGAAACTCTGTGTGACGAGTGGTGCAGGTGTCGCTCATTATCAATTACTCCATCAGCCTCGCTCCGTTCCCACGGCTCTCGGCCCCGCCCCTCTCGTCACACTCTGGTTTACTTTAATGATCATTTTATTCTGCTTTTTACATCCTTGTTGCATCACCACTCGTTGTTATTTTTATGAAAACTAAGTTTTCCACAGTTAAAAAAAAAGACATGCAGGTTTAGGACAACATTAGGGTGGGAAAAGGAATTCTTTTATATTTGGGTGAACTATTGATGTTGCTTTTCTCTTTCATTCCTGTTAGCATTCTGGTTTACTTCCTCTTTATTCAGTTCCTCATTAGGGTTGTGTCAGTGAGGACCGGTGTTGCCGCTTAACACCGTTATCACCGTCAACACCGTCTATCGCGGCAAGCCTATTCCTCATCCCTACTTGCTTCCTGTCGATTTTTAACATCAATCTGTGTTTGGGAAAAGCCACAGAAAGAGAGAGGGAGGAAAAGAGGTTGTGGGATTCTGGCGTCAGGACTGCTTTAAAGGGAGTAGTGTGTGTTACAGATATAGCGATTTGAGAGAGAGTGTCAAAATAAACAGCACATCTGTTTGTTCTCAGCATTGTGCTCCCACTCGCAACTTTCAAGAATCCTGCCACCCATATTGAGGAGATTAGGAGCAGACGCAGCCTGCATAGGGATGAGCCAGAAACTGAAGGACATCCTATTACTGTCCTCCTTTGATAAAAAATCATGCATGTAAAATTGACCTCATGCATCATGTTTCAAAGGACAGCTCTATTTTATAAACAAGTTCTCTGAAGCATTGAAACCATGGTGTCAGCTTGAGGCAGTTCTCACATTTTTTTTTTTTTTAAGAGGGGTGTTGAGGACTGGAGTGCACAGTAACTCTATACAGTCCAGTCAGATGTTTTAGATTTAACAGCAAAACCTCAAACAAAGGCACAGTGCAATTCACATTTGCGCATAACAAAATGCACTGATATATTTTACGCTGTTTTGTGAAACCGTGATATGTATGTTAAAAGGGCCTGGCAAAACCTTTCTTTCAAGAGTGCTTTGAAACAAAACTTTTCACCTAGTGCATCAGCTGAATCGAAACTGATTTCTAACCAAAACCGTGTAACTTGCATCCAGCTCTGAATTTGAGGAAAGGAACACTGCTGGTCAAGTGTCAGAACGTTAACCACATGCTTTCTGTTCTTTACAAGATCGTTATCTACATGCACACCCATGCGCACCACATAAGCCCTTAGTATAAAAGAAACTGTAGTACACTTGGTACACTCGAACAGCCGGTCATTAAAGGCAGAGTAAGTGATTTTTCAAAAACACTTTAGAAAACTGATTCGGGCCGAATCGCAAAACAAACTTGTAGCCAATCAGCAATACGGGGCGTGTCTACTCGTGATGTGGAGGAGAGTAAGTGACTTTCTCAAGAGCACAAATGTGGCAGCTCAAGAAACATCCCTTGTTGAATCTACAACTTTTCAGTTACCACCCCAGAAGCTTAACTACTAGGCTACATCATGAACCAGTGAAAATATATGCAGAAATGCATATGTGTGTGTTTAAATAATTATTTTTGTGAAAACAATGCCTATACTAATTTATACCTGGGGCCCGTTCTTTGTACGTCGCTAACTCAGTTAGCTGGATTTGATTGTTGACGATTTGGCATGATCTTGGATTGGTCGGTTCTTCGAAGCTCATCCCGGAGTTGCTGTCATAGCAACAGGTCCGTAAGCTTAAACCTGCTCGGGAGCAGCTTATTTCATGTAAACAGGATTAGATCGCATCTTTTTAAGCAGAATTGACACTTAAAATCTGTCCCAGCCACTGCTACTTTATTAGAGGAGTACCCTACTAATCCAGGTACAATAATTTACAATAACAATAATTTAAAAATACAAAAAATATTATAATGTTGTGTAGTCATCATCTATAACACACAGCCAGGTTTACTCGTTGAAAACTGTATTAGTGATGAAATAATTACTTTATAATTGTATTGGAGTCTTATACACATGCTATAAAGTTAATCTGAATCGTGCATTAATTTGAGTGGTGACAGATATTATGGGAGTGGCTTGATGGAGCGCAGGAGATGCAGATAACATGATCTTGACCCTTAAGAAACTTTAATTAATGCGGTCACGTAACAAATCTGTTCAAATATAAAATTAAATGAATTGCTAATTGCTACATTGAAATAAAAATGTAAAGCCTGTACAAATATTAGAAATCGTGAATATAAATAATTGGGAATCATGTAAAAAATTAAAATAAAATAAAAACAGTGCACATTTCATTTATCTGTTATAACATTTATGTAGTTTTGTTCGCTTGGCTGTTTCCTTATAAAAGTCCAGAAATTTGTCAAGTTTCGTCATGTGTTTTTTTAATTATATGATGTCATTACGTTGCTGTCTTGCCGCCAGCCAATCGCTGCATTGCTGATCGTGGTTTTGAGTATCGATACATAGCCCCTTTTAAACCAACCCATGAACGCGCAATTATCTCAGATAACTCAATTCAATCACATGTGCATTCGAAGAACCGAATTAACCAGATCCTGATTAGCGCGATGATATCACCTTGGATGTGACATTTCATCTCGGATGTAATAAGCGACGTACGAAGAACGGGCCCCAGACCCATTGTTTTTTATGCTTATTTGTTCATTTTTATTGTTTAACCCTCTATGGAACTAATTGTGAATTCACAGCTTATAATTGACTTTATATTTTACAGATATTTAGGAGTAAAATCCTTTTCCACTCACGAAAAAATCACTGCCCTCAACTTTGATTTTGGGTGCGTCGATCAATCAGTAACATCACTTTCAGACAAAAGATCCGCACTCGCTGTATCTTCTTAACAACTTGTAATTTATTTTTATTTTGCAACAAAGCAATGGACATTCAGACGTTTGGGCAACAAGCCTTCCTCAGTGAAGTGAGGATCTTTTGTCTGAAAGTAAAATCATTTTCCAAAATTAGTTTTCTACATATGACATTTGACCTTTTTTTTAGGGTTCTGTCATTTATAATTGTCTTTAGGCACTTTCGCACACGTAGTTCTAGGAATTCAGTTCTAGAAACTAGCCAGAATGGTGGTTCCTAGAGAACCAAGTTCTCCCTCGGGCTGCATTCGCACCAACAGTAGGAACTCTGAAGCAGTCGACATCGACGTCTTTACAAATATCAACAACCGGTGAATGGAGAATGCCTTGATCAGAGCTGTTTTTGTTGAGTGTCGTGGGTTTTGTGGTAACAGATAATGGAATATAAATGCACAAGTTACACAATTAAAAGAGCATGAAAATCTGACTATGACAACATGCAGCGTTAAATGCCGTTGTCACTGTTTTCCATGTTCGTGGAGTAAATATTTTTTCATGGCTTTTTAAAAATGCAGAGTAGCCTGTGCTTTGTATGCATTTGGCCAATCAATGTATGCTTACGTCACTGGTAGCTCCTGTAGAACTGATTTAGACCCTACTCTGAAGTAAGAGCTAAATTAGTTCCACCAAAATGGAGTTTACGTTTTTAGTTCCTGCAGTCAGAACACACCAAAAAGGGGTACTTCCGCTAATATTTCTAGGAACTATGAAAAAGTTTGGCAAATTGTCAAAACTTTACAGACAATCATATGCTGAAAAGAAGCGAAAAGGTCTTACTGTTTCAAAAAACATAAAAAAAATCCTTATGAACATTCAGTTTCTTATTGTGCTGCTATATTTGATTTGGAATTCACGTGTAAAAAAGTCTAAAACCTGACAAATTCAGATGCAATTTCACTGCCTGGAAACCAAGTCTTAGTGTTTTAAAAGCATTAAAACATCTTTAACGTTGTGTTTTATCTTTGAATTTCAAATCAATTATCGTAGCACAAGTGAAAGACAACAAGTCTCTTCTTGTTCAGTGTACCCCACACAACCCACACGTAAGTAGATGTTGACTTGTGCAATCATTGGAGCAACCCTGCCTGCCAGAATAGTAATGCCAGTAGAAATTGGCATTTTTCCTGACTTCTGGTTGTTGTATGGATCACATCTTTCAAACTGGCATACGATAATGCACCCAAATGCCTGAATTCCACAACAAATGCCCTCACCCTCATTGCCTCTATCCTTCTTGATCCTCAAAAACTCAATTTAAAAGGTCCGCTGTAAAATCAGCATGCAGCACCCAATGTTTTTGCGCGGATATTGGAACACGAGTAAAGTACAAAGCCTAGTTTACATAATGAATAACAGTTTATAGGCTTGGGCCGATAGACGATGCCATCGTCCATCACCGATGGCTGACAGAAATCACGATGTTGAGTCAATAATTAATTAATAATTAATCGCACTATATCGCCCAGTGCAATGCATGATTTTAATTTACATGCAGTTATAAATATATATTTTCTGATTAGGTAATATTAACATAATGAAGTTGTTCGCCATCACAATCCACATTACATTCAAAACAGTTAAATGACCACAATTTAAACAGTAAAGATTTTATTGTGCAAAAAATGCCAAACTAATTATAGGCTACTGTATATGTTTTACACGAACTAAACGAAGCATGCAAAAACATCAACAAAATTCTAAATAATTTAAATTTAATTAGATTAAATAGGCTAGAACATGTCGGATTGTGGGTGTTGTATAATAAATATATTACAATAAATTTCCATCCGTTCCATCTCGCGCACAGCCGCGTCCCCACAGCTTTCAAAGTATACTTGGATGAGCGCAGATGGACGAACTCGACAGACTTCTATCGCCTAGACTTCTATCTCAACAGTCACCTGTTGTATGCGGACCGTCCATGCGCTCACAAAAATTGGACAGTTCTAAAGACCAAGCCCCCACCCCAATGTCATCGTCCATCGCAATGTTTCACTGTAGACATAGTGCGATGCCAATTTGTTAGACATCGCCCAACCCTAATAGTTTAGCAAACAAATGTTGCAAGGCACAGTGAAAACATTTGGATTCTTGTCGAATGAGAGAGGCTCGTGAGCCCAATGCCCTTTCAGTTTCACTTTAAATAAATTAATTTTAGCTTGCCGTTTGTATGTTGTTTATAATTAGTGCTGTCAAACGATTAATCACGATTAATCGCATCCGAAATAAAAGTTTTTGTTTACATAATATATGTATGTGTGCTGTGTATATTTATTATGTGCATATAAATACACACACATGCATGTATATATTTCAGAAAATATGTTATTTATATATTAAATATATTCATTTATGATATAAATTATATGAATGTAAATATAGGCATGTAAATACATGTAAATATTTAAAAAATATATACTGTATGTGTGTGTATTTATACATACATAATAAATATACACAGAACACACACATATATTATGCAAACAAAAACTTTTATTTTGGATGCGATTAGTCGCAAATCGCGATTAATTGTTTGACAGCACTATTTATAATGAATGCTGCTATAGCCTAATTTGTCTTTTATTTTATAGTTTAGTATCTAATTTTATAGCTACTTATTTTTCATTCTTGTTTGTAAAGGTTTTGTTATATTTACTATATTTACTGGTATTTAATATACATATAAATTAATGTAATTGTTTGCAATTACAAGTTTAACGGGTGTTTTTGGAGTATGAATTTCTCTTTCGTGAGATTACTTCCTTTTTTTGGCAGGGTTACCTTTCTCTTCTGTATTTTGTAAACTCTAGGCTTCTAAACCAGGGGCGTTTTGGGGGCGTGATATTCAAATGACGATTGTTTTCAGTCACCACATTTATTAATGTACAATCATTCGTACGATGGAATTGGAGGCATATGAAAGTTTCATGAATCACACGTGAAGTCGTAAGTTGATTTGTACGCTCAGATCTGTGCTCATTTCATTTTAGAACTGATTAATTGTTGGCCTCATTGATTTGAGCTTATGCACCTCAGTTTTGAGTGAATATTCCAAGAATTATCCACCTGTTCTGGTTTGTATATGTCCAGAAACACTATTTTGTGTTACTCTTTCTGTTTGTGCTTTTTTGAATTTACTTTTGCATATTTTGTGCATACTCTTCTAGAGAAGAATCAGCATTGAGTACAGGATAACGAACAGGGCTTCAAATCGCATTTCTTCATAGCTCGGCATGTCGGAACACTAACTGACAGTCCACTGCCCTGACATTGCAATGAATTGAATGAATAATGATGTTTTCTCTCTGTCCTTTGTTATTAGGGGTTATCTCTATGCGGGTCTGGAGTTTGGAGCTGAGTGCTACTGTGGCCATAAGATCCAGGCACCCAACGTGTCAGAGAGTGAATGTAATATGGAGTGTAAAGGGGAGAAGAGTAACCTCTGTGGAGGACCTAATCGACTGTCCATATACAGACTGGAGCTGAGCCAGGAGTCGGCCCGCAGATGTGAGCACCCTGACACACACATACACTTACACACAGACATCTGCAAGCTCATGCTCGCATATATCTGGACGGGTGCACATATGTGACTCTTCACTGATAAAAGCGGAAAGGAACTCATGACTTTCATAGATAAGGCTTTCTTACAGGAAATTGGGTAAGACTTTACGCAAGATTTCGTTTGTTAATATTAACTACTTTGGTTGACATGAACTAACAATAAACAAAGCTTCTACAGCATTTATTAATCTTAACGTTAATTTCAACACTTATCCATTTTAAATTTTAAAAGTTTACATTTGGTTAATGCACTGTGAACTAACATGAACAAAAAATGATCAGTTGTGTTTTCAATATAATTAACAAAGGTTAAGAAATGCTGTAAAATAAAGCAATAAGCCCCAAGAAGCCGTGGTTTACAATGAATTTATAACAGCTAAGGGGTGTTGTTAGGCACGACGCGAAGCGGCAAACCCCTAAAACCCCTTTAGCTGTTATAAATTCACTGTAAACCACGGCTTCACGGGGCTTATTGCTTTTATAAAACGGTTATTCCATATATGTAGCAAGGCTTCACAAAATAAAACAAAGCAAATAAAATGTAATGGTATTAATAAAAACATTATTCTTCCACCAAACAATGTAGTTCCTCAGAAACGGTTGTGGTTGCAACAAAGTGGTTGCCGAGCAACACACAAACGTAAACAAAGGTGTATGTTTGTAGAGTAATTTACAACAGCTTCGAACGTGGCCCAGCCAATCAGAATCAAGGACCGTAACTATCCGTTTCATAAATATATTTTCCTAATGTTAACAAATGAGCCCTTAATGTTTATTGTTAACAAAAATTGGCTGTCTTGTTTGTCTTTAAGCTGTTTTGATAATCAAAGCATGATTGCAAGAGCGTAGCACAGGGCTCACCACTGAGCTCTCGGGGAAGTGATTATCATGAATGATTTCTGCTCTTTGTTTTCTAGTGATCGTGGAAAAATTCAATCGCATTGTTTCAGGGTTCCCACGTGTCCTGGAAAATTGTTATTTAAAAAAATATATAATTGTCTTTTCCTGTATCCAAGAACGAACAGTTCACCACTGGCCCGAAACGATCAATATTAGTAGTAGAAAAAGTACCATAAACATGGCATAAATCGCAACTGGCCAGTTTTTTCTCCAAACATGTGATCAACAGTCACCTCTTTTGTTTTATTTCAGGCAATCTCTGTTCCAGACATTTAAACAAACTGTATTACAACCATTTTCCAAAATGTCATTTGTGTGGAAATATTACAAAGTCTATGAACGGGCCGTTAACAAAAGCAAGAGATGCTGAAGAAACAATGAACAAAATAATTTGTTGTAATTTATAATTAAGAGCTCATTTTAAAGAACTGATTTTATAGTTAAGTCATGGCCATCCTTGTCTTTTATTCCCACCATAATTAAATAAAAAATGTCCTTGAAGTCTTGGGAAATGATCTCTGGAAAAGAGTGGGAGCCCTGAATGATTGCTTTTCCTATCTCATTCATTTGTGTTTATTTACTGTAGCTTTGAAAACTTCTGCCAGTATTGTTCTTCTGCCAGATCCTTTTCACAACATCCGTTTTTCGAATAAACTATGAATAAAATAAAATTTATATCCATCTCCAGATCGTTATGGCACGTCCTTCACCCTTTTCCTTATGCCTCATGTTTCCTTTATTGATCAAAAAATAGCACAGGCAGAAACTCATATCCATTTCCAGATCACCATATTGATCAAAAAATAGCACAGGCAGAAACTTGTGACATTCCACCCCGTGTGTCCTGATTAAGCACTTTTCTCACGTGACAGGATATCTGTTTGCGTATGAGAGGTTATGTGATAAGCACAGCAAGTGAATACAATAGTTGTGCAGGAACAACTTAGCCTTTGATGAAACCATTCTTAAATGAATTGATAAAAGACTATTTCCACTTGTACAAATAGTGATAGATTTACACTTAGTGCAAATAGATACTATTTGAACGTCAGTGTATTGCTTTTTTAATGAGTCAGTCAAAAACATTTACAAGACAGTAGCTGGTGAGGTTTTGAAACGCAATCAATACTCACATTTTCTTCAAAAAATGGTATATATGTAGTTGTTTTTGTTGGTTTTACATTTTTAAAAATTCATATTTATTTTGCTTTTCAGATGGGAGTGCCATCTTCAAGGGCTGTTTCAAGAGGCCAGACAACGTGACCCTAGCGCTTCCTGCTAGTGCCGTTATTAAAAACATGTCAGTGGACAAGTGTGTTGACATGTGCACAGAGAAAGTGAGTACATCTGGTCTCTCTCATACTACAGTACTGTGTTTATAGTCTGTCCTATATAATCTTTTTCCTTTGTCTGCTATAGGAATTCTCTCTGGCAGCCTTGGCTGGTGAAAAATGTCACTGTGGATTTCCTACTCCACTCTTCACCCTGCATGAGCGTGAGGATGAGGAACTGTGTCTCCAGCACTGTGCAGGAGAAGACTTTGAGAGCTGTGGAAACAATGACTTCTTTGTAGTGTACCAGACCCAAGTGCAAGGTAGCATTCATTTGTTTGGACCAAAACAATGTGCTCAGCTGAGCACACAGACAGCCCACATGCACAATATTTCCCCTGTTTTAGGACAAGAACAAACATGCCAGGCCACTATAGAAGCACAAGCCCGGTTCAGTCTTCACGGTGTTTCAAATGTGTGATGAGCTCTAACTGAGCTTTTGTGGCTGCATATCACTTACCGAGGTCGACCCTTACATTTGCTAAGTTCACACTTCCTCTACACTTCCTCCGAGTTTGCCGTCAAAGTAAGAAAACAGTGTGACTTCTTTATTCCACTTTGCTGTGGTTTCAGCAGTGGTCAAAGGCGATGGCTTCACCTGTAAATTTGGCACTAAATCAATAGCATATATCATGCATTTCAGATATCTGCAGATGATTTCAATAAATGCATGCTTGTGACACTTAAATGGCGCAACTGTTCTGCTGTGCAAGCAGAGCCTTTTTCCGAAACACGCACATACATGCACTCGGCCACAAAACCACATAGAGTCACTTTGTTGACTTTGAGGCTGGGGGAATTGCCCGTTTTTAAGTACTGGTTAGTTCGCACCACAGTTTTTAAATATGCTGCACAAGTGTGTGTGAAGGGGAGGGGATGACACATCAAAGAGTTAAAAGCATCAAAGCTTCCCTCAAATATACGCTAGCTATTAAATAAAACAATAAAAATCTAGAATCTGTGATTTCTTGATTCTCGTTAACCTTTATTTTATTCACAAAGAAAAGGTTTCCAATGTTTTCACTGGCCAACTTAAATGTATTTTGTAAATATAAAGAGATTTTATATCATTTTTCGGATTTTGATGGCTGCAACATGCTCCAAAAAAGTTGGGACGGAGGCATGTTTTAACACTCTGTCACATCATCTGTCCTTTTAATTACAGTGTTAAATTGTATGAGAATTGAGGATACTAATTGTTCAAGTTTTGCATGCAAAATTTTTGTCCAGTCTTGCTTGATACAAGACTTCAGCTGCTCATCAGTCTTTATTGTCGGATTCTCCTCCATACATTTTCAATAGGAGACAGATCCGCTGGCCAGTCAGTCACATCCACATGTGTCTATGAAACCACGCTGTTGTAACACATGCAGAATGAGACCTGGCATTGTCTTGATCTAATAATCATGGGCTTCCCATGATAGACCGCATCTTGATGGCAGTATACGTCTCACTACAGCTCTGTATTAGGGGCTTTTGCACCGCATCGTTTCAGGAACTAGCTAGCATGGTGGTTCATAGAGAACCAATTTCCCCCTTGGGCCATTTACGTGGTTGCATTCGCACCGGCGGCAGGAACTCTGAAGCAGCCGACAGCGTCTTCTTTGTTCGTGAATATGTTTACATGGCTTTTAAAAAATACTGGGTAGGCTGTGCTTCGATTGGCCAATCAGCGTACATTTACGTCACTGGTAGCTCCTATAGAACTGTTTTAGACCCTACTCTGAAGTAGGAGCTAATTTTGTTTGTCCAAACGGAGTTCCTAGAACTAAATATGTTCTTAGTTCCTGTTGTGCGAACACGCCAAAAAGCAGGTACTTCCGCCAATAATTCTAGGAACTATGAAAAGGTTCCTCCGGGTCGAAAGCCCCATATGCCTTCATGTCAATGGTACTTTCGCACAGATTCCAGTCACCCATGCTGTTTGCTCTGCTTAACCCCCATAGCATGACAGACCTTTGCTTTTGCATCTGTCGCTGGTGAAAGTCTGGATGATCCCTTTGGTCTTTGGGACTGAGAACTTGATGTCCGTTTTTCCCAAGAACAAGCTGAAACGTGGACTCATCTGACCACAGCACACTGTCTTTCTGACTATCTGAGATGAGCTCTGGCCCAGAGAACCCGTCAGCATCACTGCATAGTATTGATGTAAGGTTTTTCTTTGTGTAACAGATTCAAGTTGCATTTCTCAATGCAGCGGAAGACTGTGGTAAATGACTTTTTTGACATTTTGGAAAAAATGTTTTCTGAAGTACTCCTGAGCACGTGGCTATATTTGACACCCACGGCATGATGGTTTGTTTTGCAATGCCATCTGAGGGCTCAAAAGTCTGTTTCAAAACAGTTGAACTTTTATTTTGCCTGTATTATTTTGTGTGTACAAATATTTTCTTTGTACTTTTGTCAATTAAAGAAAAGTTAAGGGGAATTAAATAAACTCACAGATTCTTGATTTGACTGCATTTTACATTTTTACATTTTTGGAATTGGGGTTGTACATTACACATGGTTTTGTTAGCTCACCTTTCATTACATAAATTCACACATCCTGTGAAAGCTCTGATTTAATGCACAAATAAATGCACAGCCGTTTGCACTTGCACTCTGCATGGAAAATATATAATATTTCGTGCACTGTTGCATCTTAAATAACTTTTGTACTGTAGTTTATTTAGTGGCATTTATAAAAGCTGTTTGATTGCTTACATCAAGACCGGTTACACTCATGGTGTGGATGAATTGCCTGTCGGAGACAGAAGATAATTTGTAGTTTACAGTTTCAGGACCTTTTAAATAAATGTTTTCGGGTTAAGCATTTGGAGCCTGATCATTTCCAAAAAAGACAACATTTTAACATAGAATTCTGTCATTTAATTCGACTGACGTTATCTGTGTAAAGTTATGACCACTAAGGCACAAGGACAACAAAGATAAGGTTATTCTCAGCTTTACACAGATAAGGTTAGCAAATTTATCGCACTGCAACTATGTTAAACCTCAAGCATTCTTTGGGACAAATGTGGGCAAAATCATTGTTTTTTTTTAACAAGTAGTTTCCTTAATCTGAGCGTACAAGACTTGACTACTTTTCCTGTTTGCCACCTGAACACACACACAAAAAAAACTGGACTCGATTCAACAAAGTTAAGTGGTTGAAAAAAAATTTCATCATTTGTCATTCGTGGACAAAAGTGGGCACCCATAGGAAATGAATGGGAAATACTATTCAGTGCATTTTTAATTTGTCCAATAAAAATCAATAAATCCAACAAAATGCAGATATACATACATATAAATGAAGGGGTGAGCCTATACAACATTCTCAATGTGCAAACACTCACACTCACACACACTCTCACACGCACACACACACACACACAAAGCATTGAATGAGCCTATAATATTTATAGCCTATATTTTTCTTTTGTTTGTCACACCAAAAACAAAGAGTTGAATGAGCAAGTAACTGAGCATTTTTCTTGAATGTGTCAATCATCCACTGCACACACACACACACACACACTCACTCACTTCAAAGTCAGATCAAAGTCCTACTGCAAAATTAGTTGATGCTTCCAAACAAAACATGTCTGAAACATGCTACTTGTTAGGTGTATTGTTTATTCTTACTAGTTTGGTAGCATTTTACGTTTTTGAGTTATTGAAATGTGATGTGTTTTTTTTTGTTAGAAAGAAACTAATGATTACTCTGTCTCCTTTGTCTTTTCCTTATAGCATGGTCAGATTTGTCTGTAAGCAAATTTTGCCATCTTTGGATAGTCTCACCCAACACAAATATATATTTTTTTTTACAATAAAAAAAATTCTACAATTTTAACGTGATAAAATCTAAAACTTAACAGGTTAAGTTTATTACAACAATGGTTTATAGATTTAAGCCTATATGCAGCCACTGAGTACTACAGCCAAATAGTGGCTATTGATATTTTTGAAATTTTTATATTTTTATGCCATCATATGTCACCAAAGTCATTTTTAGCTTTTGGCTTACTGGGATTTGTTAATAATTTTTTTTACTGTAGTAAAAGAAATATTAAATATAACAAAAATAAGCATATTTTACATAAAATATGGTACTTTTAGATGTAAATAACTTTAAAAAACAAAAAAATAATAATAAATGGATCGTTTTTATTTTATCGAAGATAGTGATATGACATTTATTTAAAAAAATTGTGATCACACCCAATTCCTCTTGTTTATCACACCGCTCAAACCTGATTGAGACATTTTACCTGTTTTTTTTACAGAATGCAAAGGTTCTGTGATTTCAAGACTATTATTTTTGCATTTTTTTGTCCACGTATGTTACCTTTGAGGTCATAAATATATGTGCTAATATACTTGCTTGTCAAGCAATTTCATGGAGACTTTGAGACTTTTTAAGGGTTTTTTTCACCTCAATATCTTACATCTGCCCTGATATGTGTTCACTTTTATCTCTACAGATAATCGTTGTATGGACCGGCGCTTTTTACCCACTCGTTCCAAACACCTAGTGGCACTAGCTAGTTTCCCAGGCGCAGGGAATACGTGGGCCCGTCACCTTATTGAGCTGGCCACAGGTTACTACACCGGGAGCTACTACTTTGATGGCTCACTGTACAACAAAGGTTAACTTAACCTTTTTGTTCTCTTTTTGAGAAGGCCATCCTTTTGACTCTTGCTAGCTGATGGTCTTCCTTTCTCTTTGATCTCTTTGCGTGTGCAGGTTTCAAAGGGGAGAGAGATCACTGGCGCAGTGGTAGAACCATATGTATCAAGACCCATGAGAGCGGCAAGAAGGAGATCGAGGTCTTTGATGCCAGCATTCTTATGATCCGGAACCCTTATAAAGCCCTCATGGCAGAATTTAACCGCAAGTATGGTGGCCATATTGGATTTGCCTCTCAAGCTCATTGGAGGGGGAAAGGTGAGAGATGAAAGCTTGTTCTAAAGCCTAGTGATGTGCGATACAAACAGCAGTACTTGCATGAAGCATATAAAAACCGTGCATGTTAAATGTCTCTGTTAAAGAAATAGTTCACCCAAAAATGAAAGTTTGCTGGAAATGTACTCACCCTCAGGCTATCCAAGATGTAGGTGAGTTTGTTTCTTCATTGGAACAGATGTGGATAAATGTAGCGTTATATCACTTGCTCACCAGTGGATCCTAAGCATTGAATGGGTGCCGTCAGAATGAGAGTCCAAACAGATGATAAAAGCATCACAGTAATCCACACGACTCCAGTCCGTCAATTAACGTCTTGCGAACTGAAAAGCTGTGTGTTTGTAAGAAACAAATCTATCATTAAGGTGTTTTAGATTTAAATCATCGCTTCCGGCCAATATACCAGTCAATCTATGATAATGCAGAATAATGATCAGTGCTGGATAGTAACTGATTAACTGATAATCTAGATTTGTATTTTTATATCCATAATGTACAAGATTATCGTATTTAAATAAATGTGCTAAACGAGTTAGGTCAAAAGTAATCTAAAAGATTACTCTGATTACATTACCTAAAATGTGTGGATTATGTTACTAACTACTATTTTTGTCATGTAATTTGGAATCAGTAACCGACTACCATTTGTGTGAATATTATCGTATTTAAATAAATGTGCTAAACGAGTTAGGTCAAAAGTAATCTAAAAGATTACTCTGATTACATGACCTAAAATGTGTAACATAATGGATTATGTTACTAACTACTATTTTTGTCATGTAATTTGGAATCAGTAACCGACTACCATTTGTGTGAATTACGTGTGGATTATTGTGGTGTTTTTATCAGCTGTTTGAACTGATTCTGACGGCACCCATTCACTGCAGAGGATCCATTGTGGTGAGCAAGTGATGTAATGCTAAATTTCTCCAAATCTGTTCTGATGAAGAAACAAGCTCAACTACATCTCGAATGGCCTGAGGGGTGAGCACATTTTCATTTTTGGGTGAACTGCCTACTGCTGCTAGAATTTACAAAACTTTCCCCATCACAATTTGTCCAGCTTCTCTTCCATATACAGGTGTTATTTGACGCATTTTTTGTCTTCACTGAGCTCATCACAATATTTGCTGGCATTATCTGTATCTTAGGTCAGTTTGGTAGGCTAACAGACCAATGCTTATAATCAGGCTAAATGTTTGAAAGAACTTCTGTTTTGTTTTTGACGTTGTCATTAGTCTTAGGGTTAAACTAAGCTGCTATACTGCGGTCGAGGGTGTGCGCTTTTTCCCTTTTAACTCTGTATGAGAAACTTGCTTAAGACTAATGATGCTTATGTTTAGGTACAGCAATCTATTATTGGGCACCAAATACAGGTTTCTGGTGTTTAAATTTGAATAGTTATAACCATTAAACCAAAACACATTTTACTTGCAGTTAATGTAATTTTACTAAAATATTGTTGCATTTTAAAAAAAAAAGTGTGTGAACTATGGTAGTGGTCAGTTTGTTGTGTAAAGTTGTCCTTACCCCAATGAAGTCCATTTTTAAGCAATTTTTCTCTCTTGTTCTGCTTCTTAACAATATATTTTTCCCACGGAGAAGCAGATACTTGTGACATTTTGGTGTCTTGATTTTCGAAATGAGCATCTTTCTGTTTTTGTTTCATTTTTTAAACAGTTTTATGAAGTTGCCTGTGTGTGTGTTTTTAACACATTTTAACATTTAACACTGTGCAGTATGTTCCTCTGTTATTGTTTCACTGTTCTTGTTGCCGTGCCAACAAGCTTATTAATTCTTTCTGATGCGTCACACTGACCGAAACGCAGAAGCATCTAAAAAAAATCAGCATTTTTTGCTTCTTCCTTTTGTATTCCGTTCTTTTTACATCCTCTATCATCATGATTATGCTAATTTTATTTGGTTTGTGAAAAAAAAGACATCAGCTCTTCATTAGCGATTTATATTGTTTTCATTCTCTCCACTGATGAGACTCAGCATAAAATTGTATTCTATTACTTAAATACAAACAAGTTCATCAATTCAGAGTGTGACTGACTTCTGCTTAATTCGTTTTTTCAGAAAAGTGTTCTGATCGTTGATTAAAAATATACGTAAGCAGTTCCGCTATTGAATCAAGTTGTGTTTGGTGATGTCCGGTACATTTGTGCAGTGCTGTCACATGTCTACAAAGGTTTTCTAATGCACTAAATCTCTGGTGCCATGTTACTGCAAGATGTCATTGTTCAAGAAGATCAACTCTCTCATTCTCTCTCAATCAGAGTGGCCAGAGTTTGTGAAGAACTACGCTCCATGGTGGGCATCCCACACACTAGACTGGCTGAAATATGGGAAGACAGTTCAAGTGGTACACTTTGAGGACTTAAAACGGGACCTTTTTTCTGAGTTAAAAGGCATGGTCATCTTTCTGGGCCTAGAAGTCTCAGTGGACCGCCTGCTGTGTGTGGAAGGACAGAAGGATGGGAACTTCAAACGCTCTGGTCTGAGGAAGCTGGAATACGACCCTTATACGCCAGAGATGCGTGCCACTATTGACGGGCTTATTAAGACCGTGGACACGGCACTCAGAAAGAGAAACCTGTCTGGTGTACCCAAGGAGTACAGACCCAGATGATACTCATCTCTTCATTTATGCTTTATTTTTTTCACAACACACTTTTTTCCCAGCTATACCCATTTTTACCCTAGAATATGAAATTGTTTATCATCATTCTCTTTGATTGCTTTCAGTTTTAAGAATGGTACAGTATTGCAGAAATAAACTGCTGAAAAACTGTTTGCCTTTTCATTAATAGTCTACACTACATAGTAAGACATGGGCTTGTGCAACAATTTGCTTTGAGTTTAATCACCATGGATCCATCTTCCTTAGGCCAATACAAGTGGGTGCTCACTACAAATTCAGTTGAGTCATTACGGGAAATGACTGTTCACACTTCTTATAAATGTGTCTGTTGGCATCAAGACATCCGGGACAGCTATTTAGATAAACCCATGATATGTGTCTTTCATTAAATTGGCTTTTCCTTCGACTACTGGACTACATTATGATCCCTTAAGCACTTCAGTCTCATTGGGAATATCTGGACAGCGATTTCATTTTTAACATCTGAACCCCAGCTTCCTGCACTCTAAAAAATGCTGGGTTGTTTCAGCCCAACCTTGGGTCAAATATGGACTAACCCAGCCGTTGGGTTAAATTTTGACATTACATTTTTAACCCAAAAGTTGGGTTAGTCCATATTTGACCCAAAGTTGGGTTGAAACAACCCAGCATTTTTTAGAGTGTGTGACCACAATTATCTGGAAATTGCTTTCAGATGTTATGATGCTTCTTAAAACTGATATGGACAACAAAATCCTCAATCCTCAAGTTACACCACGTGATTAGATCAATGCATGGGCGACTCGAAAACACGTTGTCTGGTACTTGCCTTCAGTGATTTGCAGGCAAATTGCAGCCTTTATTGAGCTATCGATTTAGATGAAAGCAACCAAGTTCTTCTGTTTTGTGTTTAGAGCACTTCTACGTTGAGATTGTTCCATTGAGTTTAACTTTTGTTTTTCTCACTGAGGTTTTAAGATGTATTTGCAGTGCATGGGTGATCAAAAAAAATGGTTGCTTTTTGTAAGTTGCTTAAAATGACATTGACTGACCCTTTGCCCCTTTTATTATTTGAATCTGTTAAAGGGATACTGTAGTTTTCCCCAAAATGAAAATTCATTCAGTTATGTTTTTGACAGACGTAGTCACAATAAATACATGAGAAGAGTTGTGTATCAATACTTGGATTTACATGAAGATGTGTAAATGATGAGAGAATTTTCATTTTTGGATGAACTATCCCTTTATGCATAAAAACTTTCTACACCAATTTATGTCCCAGGTTAGACTGTGAGAGTAGTTGCACAACGTACTGTGTGAGGTGCACTGAATAACTTCCCCACAAAATCAAATAATTCCTCCCAAAATATCATTAGATGTCAGGCTTTGGATGCAATTATCAACTTGTTCCAGAAATGCTCAGAATTGTTATTTTTGTTTTTGTTTTTTTGTCAGTGTTTTAATTGCAGGAGTTTTTATTCAAAACAGTGAATCAGCTTTATCTAATAATCTTGAAGGGGTGAAAGCAAGTATGAAGCAATGTTCTAAAGAGACAAAAAGCACCTCGAAGGTAAATTTCTGCTTCTCAGCTGGAGACCTAATAAAATAACATTCAATATATGTAAATACACATATATATTTTTGTAATGCTCACAAGGAGAATGACTTTAAAAGACAAAGCAGCACCTATATTTTTGAAAAGGCTTTTAAATTTGAGCATTACACGCTTTTCATTTCAAAAAGGAACTGAAGTGTCTTTCTGAATGTATTTTGTATGGAGTGAATGTAAGGAATTTCTACCAAATGATTATAGAAATCAGAGAGTAATTGCCAGCAATGCAAAGGGAATTAAATGATTGCAACAAGATTTTTATTATAATTGTAAGCTGAGAGAACTGTGTGAATATATGGAAAGGTTTTGCATTTGTTTGGATTGTGCATCAGATGTCCTGATCAATAAATTGTAACGCCCCAAATTCTCAGAGGCCCAGCATTCATTTATGTATGTAGTTGCTTGCTTGCTTATTTATTTATGTATTTACTTAAAGATTTGAATATGATTGTAAGGTTTTTTTAAACATTTATTTCTGTGTGCATTTGGTGAAAATGCTGAAGAAACAAAAAAAAAATCATTTAAGCAGTTTCGTTCTCTCTTTACAGCTGTATTGACACTGCATTTTAAATGCTTGTTGGGTTTGGCACTTTCTAGAATCGTTGAACCCTGGTTTTACAAATCTCTCATCTACTTGTCTGTTGTTTTGTGCTGTTTTCACAGGGAAGGTGTGATACGAGCAGCACTTGAGCAGCCAGTGCTCAGAGTTAAATTAAGCATCTTTGTTGATAAGGTTACTGCGGTCATAATGATGGAGACTAAGGCTCCCCGCCATACATTTAATATGTGGTAGGATTTATTTCCAAACACTAGTCAGTCTGGTTATAAAATGACTCACTGCTGCTGTACACTAAATGGTCAGAGGTGAAGAGCTGCAGACTGTAACTCAATGAATTAAACTGCTTACTCAAAAGCGAATCTAAGCTACCTTTTTGTCTGGTCATTTGTCAAAATGATACAGGAACCACATATGGATGCCAAGGCGACTTGGTTTTAAACTATTGTCTTAAAGGGGTCATAGGATGCCCATTTTCCACAAGTTGATATGATTCTTTAGGGTCTTAATGAAAAGTCTGTAACATAGTTTGGTTAAAATTTCTCAATGGTAGTGTAAAAAACACCTTTTTTACCCTGTCAAAAACAGCTCTTTTCAGAGCATGCAGATTTGTAGCATTTTCCTTTAAATGTTAATGAGCTCTGCTGACCCCGCCCCTCTCTTCCGATCCGCTCTCAGAGAGACTGTTTACTTTAGCTGCATTCATCGTGAAACTTGCTAATTAGCACATTATTAGGAAAGGCGATTTGCAAAGATTCGTTAAAAAAAACGTACACGCACTTCTTCTGTAGGTGAAGCTGGATCACGAATGATTCGCGCGTCACACAGACAGGCATCTGAGATCGGCTCGATTTGAGAAAGGGGGAAAGATTTTAGTAGATTAACAAAAAACCACTGGGTGGATTTTTATCATTTTAGGGTGGGTGTGTACATACACTGCCAACACACCTTTCAGTTGAAACAACTTGTAAAAGTGCATGTAGCATTATTTGACCCCTTTAAATTTTTACATTTTACATTGCGACCATTTGAGTTACAGTCTTCAGCCCTGCATCTAGTTTTACTAAGTGTGGTCTATAAATTGTAGAAAATAAAGCATAAACTACCAAATACATGCAAATATATTTCTGCAATGCATATAAGCAGGAAGTATTGAAAGATAGGAAGTATCACAATGTTTATCATATCAAAAATGAACAATGCTGAAGCGTCTTTCTGAATGTATTGTGTATGGATTTCATTAATAGGCGTATTAAATAATGAAGAGAATTCCCAGCACTTAAGGAAACAGAATGGTTAGAACAAGATTTTTATTATATATTTTTATGCATATGTTAGCAAAACAAAGAGAGAGAGAGAGAGATGTGGAGCATGACAACATTTGTCGATCTTGTCCAAATTATGTTTAATACATACATTCAAACACCCCAAATTCTTTTAACCCACCCCCATGCGTTAATCTGTAACATAAATGGTTAAATAAAAACTGTAAATATTTAATAGCTGTCATAGAATTCTGCAAAATTATTAAACAAAATATAATGACTTGTAAAGTAGCTTATATTGAACATCTATTTAAATTTTTTAACTTCTACTTGTAAATTTCCAAACTCAAACATGCAACAGACAAAACAACTGCACTACTTGTTAATGCCAAGCCGTTTCTATGGGTCATCATTCACTTTAGTGCATGACTCGTGTAAAAATTTCAGACAACAGTGGAATGTCTGTTATCCACAGAATTGGTAATTGAAGTTGCTCTGAAAGCACTTCGGGTCTCCTCATCGATGGCGCTCTCAATCTTGGAAAGAAAGGAATAGCATTTCTTCTTTAAGTCCTTGGCCATGAATGCATAGAGGAACGGGTTTAGAAAGCTGTTTGCACTGGCGAGAGTGGCGGATACTTGTTGGGCTGTGTGAAAGGCAAAGCTGTACTCAATTCGGTCCAACTCTAAAACGGAAACTATTTGAAATGGCAACCAACAGATGAAAAAAGTTGTGATCAGTAATGTCATGATCTTGTAGGGCTTGGTGGATCTGGACATTTGGTTTGCTCTAAGTTTACGGATCAGGATGGAGTAACAGGTGAAGATGGTCAGGAATGGAATCAAAAACCCAAAAGTAAAGCGCATGAACACAACGGTTTTGTGGTGATTCTCATAGTTGCTATAGCATATGTCTATATTCATAATCTCTCTGAATTTGGCAGATGGAATGCTAAGCAAAGAAGACACGAACCAAGCTAACATAACAACTACAGAAGCTTTCTGTACGGTGCGCTGATTCTGGGCCCAGACGGGAAACTTGACGGTGATGCAGCGATCCACACTAATGATGACCAGGATGAAAATGCTGCTGTACATATTGAGGGTCATAACAAAAGCGTTGAACTTGCACATGAAGGGCCCAAAGATCCAGCTGTTCTTCACCATGTAGTCAACGGTGAAAGGGAGAGTAGCGCAGAAAATGAAGTCAGACAGAGCCAGACTCAGGTACCAGGTGGTGTTCACTGACTTCTTCATCTTAAAACCAGTAATCCAGATCACCGCACCATTTCCAATGATGCCAAGAAGGAATATGATCACATTAAAGATCACTGTAATTACACATGCTGCTTCCCTGCAGTAGCCAAGATGTAAGTCCTCATGAAGTTGCTCTTCTTTCGCATGGCTGTCTACAGCTAACTCTTGTAAATCATAATAATAATCTGCAACTGGAGTTGAAGTCATTGTGAATAGGAAGCAGAGTTCTGTAACAAAAACAATATGCAATTTATCCAAATGCATTTAAACTGAAGCCGGGCTGTAACCACCAGAGACATTGGGGGGACTTAGAATAATTGGAAATGGACAATCTGCCCCCCCCCCATATTTGAAATTCTTGCACTGATCTGCTGCACTACATTATGCAGTGCTCTGTTTTTTTAGGATGACAAAAAGGTTTAAAAGTTATGTTTTCCTGGTTTATTTTGTTTTGAAGGGACCATGTACAATTTTAAACTTAAATATTTCCATTTGATGCTATGTACCAGAGTTAACCAATAGTTAACTTTTCACCATTAAAAAACATTCCTCTCAGTAGTAAAATAACAGAACAAGTTCTGCATGATGCATACAATATATCATTTCCAACCAGTCCTTCTCTGACAAGCAGAGCGGTCAAAAAAAAATCAATAAAAAGCACAATGCTAGCAGAATTCTCCCATAGCTTCCCTTATTTTTCCCATAAACTGCTTGTACTTTTCTGATAATCCTTTGACCTTAAATTCCCTTTGATGGGTTACATGCATGCCTGTTTGTATGAAGGAAATTGCCTAATTTGCTACTTAAAAAGCTAGTTTAGTGTTTAAACCACACAGAACACGTGGCATGCTATTCGCATTTGAATTTTAAGTACAACTTTAAGCGAAACTTGTAACACTGATGAGTGCAAAGTATGTTTGTTAAGTGAGGAGGGTGTAATGTCTCGTTTTGTGTTATATCTGGTATCTACCACCTTTTAAAGGTGGTTGCAATCCAAAATTTTGAAAATATTCTATTGCAACATGGAATTGTTAATCGTATGCATCCTAATTCTTTTGCTGCTCTGTCTTTAAAATTTAACCGAAAACATCTTGAATTGGTTCTGATGTCATCTGAAGATAACTTACCTCACAAAGTAAGCTTCACAATGCCGTTTGAAATCAATAGAAATCAACTTCTGCTGCTGGGTTGTTTGCTGATAAATGCAGACTGAGCTACTGGCCAAACATTTTAACGCCTAGTTCCTCTGTAAGATGCAAGCACATTTCTGAGAACTGAGACTGTCGATGGCCACACTTATCAAGTACCCTATTCAAGTTGCTCTGTTTATCTGATAGTTAGCGATGGGTTGGTTTGAGGTTAAAAACCGAGAATGTAGCGCCATGCAGTGAGCAGGTCAACATACACCAAACTGATGCTGAAGTGTGTTCAGAACAAAAAGATGTATTAGTCACAGGGAAGTTCAATAATGTTCAGATCTGTACAAGATCTGTGCATGTGATTATGAAGATTAAAGTATGCTAGCTTACATCAAGAAGCCATTTGCATTATGCATAATAATGGTTTGATATATTACTATAAATAACTAAAAATTAAATTTAAAAATGTATTCAAATTAATTGCATATACTAATTACAAAGCCCAAAATGAAAGTTTTGACAAGTAAAAACTTGTGGCAGACAAGTAAATAATTGAATATAATATATAGCCTATTTAAAAAGTGGCTTTAGAAGTCAAAATAAGTTTTATTTTTATATCATTGAACAAACATGACTTTACAGGTCATTCACACAGGACAGGTTTTCCCCATTCACCTTATTTTTGGTCTGTTTATATATAAAATGTTTCTAGTCAGATGTTTTTGGTTATTGCGTCACACCTCTCTAAACGCATCTTGCGCACCATGTTTCAAGATGCGGTTTTAAACGTACAGTTAAAAGTAGTTTTAACTATTAAAAACATATAACTTTGCTGCACTCAAGCAGTTTTGAATGCAACAATGCATCCAGTGAAACACAATCTATTTGGTGGCATTTAAAGCTTAAATTGCTCAGATCAGAGATGGATAAGTGATTTATTTATAAAAAACAAAACAAAATAAAAAGTATAAAAGTACATATTTTATCAAATATAGATTGATGTAATGCAACATTTACTTTTTGCTTTTTTACATTTCTTTTGCTTTTTGGCCATTTGTAGTCAAGTTTGTGGCCTTTTGGCTCAGATATTTCACACAAAAAAACTGGTGTTGAAAAAATTTTCATCCAGAAGTTGCTAGTAAATTTTACAAATAATTACAAAGAAAAAGCAAGTAACACATTGAATTAAACATGACATTTTAAAGACTGAAATAGTATTTTCTTGTAAAACATAATTCAATAATATTTTTTTTCTATTTACAAGTTTGATTTTTTTTTTCTTTTTTTTTTACAGTGTATAACAGTGTCCTTATTATGGAATTTACAGTTAGGAGGCACACTTCAGTGTGTTATTTTAGTTTAGTTTAAAATGAATTATACTAAATGAATGCATTAAATTGACAGCCCTACTGAAAAAAAATAACTGAAGAAATATTACTTCCTTAAAAATAAAGTTTATTCTTTAGATATGAGTGGAGGCCCTGGCATCCACTGAGCTGGAGCGAGACAGGTAACGGCTGATCGTTCGGCCGTCTTCTCCAATGGCATTCTCAATCTTTGATAAGATGGAGATCCTGAACTTCTTCCTGAAGTCATTGCCCATGAAAACGTACAAAACGGGGTTCAGGAAGCTGTTTGCGGCTGCGACAGCGGTGCCAATTTTCAGTCCGGCACACTTCAGTGTGTTATTTTAGTTTAGTTTAAAATTAATTATACTAAATTAATGCATTAAATTGACAGCCCTACTGAAAAAAAATAACTGAAGAAATATTACTTCCAGTTTATTCTTTAGATATGAGTGGAGGCCCTGGCATCCACTGAGCTGGAGCGAGACAGGTAACGGCTGATCGTTCGGCCGTCTTCTCCAATGGCATTCTCAATCTTTGATAAGATGGAGCTCCTGAACTTCTTCCTGAAGTCATTGCCCATGAAAACGTACAAAACGGGGTTCAGGAAGCTGTTTGCGGCTGCGACAGCGGTGCCAATTTTCAGTCCGAGAATAATGACCTCTTTGTGGAAGGTCTGGTTTAGTTCAATTAGCACAAACGTGTGGTACGGCAGCCAGCACAGGAAGAAGGTCAGAATGAGAGCCGTCATGATCTTAAACGGTTTGTTGGACTTTGCCATCTGGCTGGCTCTCAGTCTGAGGATGATGACGGTATAACAAACAATGATGAGGATGAAAGGGATGACAAATCCAAAAACAAAGCGGCTCACGGCAATGAATTTGTGGCTGTACTGGCTGGATGTGTAGTTGTTAATGCAATGGTTTATACCTAGGTGACTCTGGACATCACGGTATACGATAGACGGGATACTTAAAGCTGCAGAGGCAATCCACGCGAGTGTGATCAATACAGATGCTTTTCCAGTAGTGCGGTGATTCTGTGCCCAAACAGGAAACATGACGGCGACGCAGCGATCCACGCTGATGATGACGAGGAGGAAGATGCTGCTGAACATGTTGAGGAACATGACAAAGGAAGTGAACTTGCACATGAAGAGGCCAAAGATCCAGTCTGATGTGACGCTGTAGGCGATGTTAAAAGGCAAACAGGCGCAGAATATGAAGTCAGATACAGCCAGACTCAGGTACCAGGTAGTATTGACTGACCTCTTCATGCCAAACCCTGCAATCCAGATAACCACACCATTTCCTCCCAGGCCCAGCAGACAGATGATCACGTTGATCACCAGCAACAACAGGCAAAGAACCTCAGTGAAACATGTGGTGGTGTGGACGTGGAAAAAAACTTCTTCAGAAGGGAAATTACCAGAGGAGGTGACATTATCATAATCAATGTAATTATTGTCAAATACAAAATCTGCTGAATCCATTGTAAATTCTGTTGAGTCCTTGCAAGCAGACAACAAAAAGAAAGTTTGTTAATGATAAATATCAGTAATACCACAATCACTGTTCCTAGATTATTATTGCTTAGCAGTATGTAATTTCAACCCAAGGGTTCAAAGTAATTTCTTGAAGATTCAGTTTTGAAAAAAGTTCTGTTTTAAAACTTAAATATAGGCTAAGTTAGATTAGCTACAATAGATTTGGTTCTGTTAATCAATAAAGAGAAAATAAGTAAAAAGCTTGTCATACGTAAATATCGAATATTTATAATATCTAAAAATGAATGTAAACATCTCTGCAGACAAAAAAGGCAAACACATTTCCGTGTGGTTTGGAGTACATTTTCATAATTCTTGTAAATAACAAGACAGTCTCTCACCTCAGCCTAATAGCAGTGTCTCCAGCATTACTGCACCAGCTTCCATTTGTCATCTGACAATTGTGTCACTTGTGCGTTTATAATGCATCCTATCCTTCTCTTGAGCAATATTGTACATGACTGCACATGCTGTACTTCCACAAAATACTTTTTTGTTTTCCTCATCAACAAGATCCCCTACTTTCACTTCTTCAAAACTCTTTTAGTTTTGGAAAAATAGATTCCAGAAGCAAACTCTAAGCTTTGGCCCTCTACATGATCTGATATTCTTTTATGTCAATAAAATAATTAAGTGATCATTTTAAATCATTCCTCACTTTGAAGTGTTCAAGAAGTTTCTCCTCTTTTTTTCAAACCAAACATGTTTATTTGTAGTTTTAATAGGTGAATATTTTGTAGGGTTTCATGTACTCAACATCACTTCTTTTATAAAAAACTACAGATTAAAGCTTTTAGAAAAACTTGACTTTTTTAGGTGGCTGGTTGGCTGGGTTGTTATAGGTTAGGGTGACCATACGTGCCATTTTCC